GAAATTTTGAAAAAATCTAATCTTTTCCTAGGTTTTGTCAAATGGTTCAAATTTGTCGAGACTTGACAATTTATGTTGATGTTATTTATTTCAATTCGCGAACCTTTGCCACCAACAGCCGAGCTTAAATACACAACTTTTCTATTTCCTAAAAACTTATAACAATGTTAAAATGGAACATTTTAAAAACATGGAATTTTTCACGTATCATATTTTTTCATGAAGGTTTTGCAAGTATTATTTTTACTTGGAGTTTGATATTAAATTTGCAAATTTGCAAAATTTTAAAATTATAGTTTCCGAAATTTTCAAATTGAGCAGCAACGATGTCGTTTTAATAATAAGATTTGTTTGTAAAACGATTTGTAATGAAGCTTAGAAATTGGAGTTCGCTCTCGAGTTACAAAATATCACCTAAATTGCAAGTCTAGTATTTAAACAAGATCAAAAATTTTGGAAAGTTGCAAATTCGTCACAAATTCATGGAGAAAACTTCTTCGAATTTTCACAAAAACTTTGCAAGTTATGTTGCTACTTGGCTCATTTTTCTTGTCAATTATATTGAGCAAAAATCTGTTATTTCTTTGCAATTTGATTATAAAAATAAATTGACAAATTCGTTTTAACCGTACATTTTATTTATGAAATTTGTAAATTCCATAATTTTTTAGAATATATCAAAGAAATTAAATTGTATTAATCGTTATTATTCTTGTTTCCGAGATACAAACACATATCAAAACGTGCTAATTTTGGAACCATAAAGCAGCTACCATACGAAATCTTATTTAAATCTTTTTTAATCTTGATTTTCATTATGAAAAACTTGTCATTCAGACGTTTAAATTATGAAATTCTTAAATATTGCCTCATGTTTAATGTTCCAGACATTCTTGTACACTCTTAACAAAATCAATACTATTTCAATACCACGCGGTATACATATATGACTCTACCGCTGTAGTATTGATTTAATACTAAATAGTATTGTCGCTGATACCGGAGCAGTAAAAATAGTGGGGTTATTGGTATTCACATTAAACCGTGTCAGTATTATATGGGGTGCGCACTGTGGTATTATTCTTATTCACTGTGGTATTGAATGATGGTGAGCGCTCTATACCACCTAGTATTGCATGCGTTGAGCATATTTATACCACGCAGTATTGTGTAATTACCATGGCAGTAATGAATGCGAAAATATGGTAATGAAACGTTTCTCGTTTAATTATATTTTTTTATTGCACAATTAAACGCTTAACGTAGCAATTACAATTATTTTGAATTAAAACAACATTTATAAACATACATAGATAGGAATAATAAATAAATATGCACCCAAATATTAATTAACATGTTATTTGACAAAATTTACAGCTAAATTCTTAATACTACACCACTTATCTAAATACTACAAGTAATGTCTCGAAATCACGAAATTTCCAGCAACATTGCAATTATGCTTCAACTCCATGGCATCATGAGTAATTAGATTATTTACATTGACTACTTTAAAAATATTCTCCGTCTCCTTAATTTTATAGGCAAACAGATGCCGATCAAAATACTCGGTGTCCAGCACTTTAAGAATTAATAGACAAGTATTTGATTCGTATAAAATAAATTCATAAATTTGGCCAAACTTTGGGAAAACATTTCCCATCTCATAACACACAATAAAGCTACGCTTATAATTATAACCGTTGTACCATATTTGATTTGTACTTAACATTTCATTCTTCCCACACAAGGTCTGAGTACATAAAAATATATTTAGTGATTCAATTATATCAAAAGAGTCGTCATAGTCGGATAAATTAATTTTAAAAATTTCATCTGTTTTTAAACCAAAATGTAATTCAATGTTTTTAGAAACACGAGAACTATACTGCTGGTGTCTCACTGCGAGAGACAGGCAAATATTTCTGAAATTTCTAATATTATGCGCAATCTGGGCAAAATAATTGTGCTTGCCCTCAAACCGCATTGTCCAAAGAGATAATAACGGGCCTGACTGTTTTATGACATATGGATAATGCACCATAAAATGGTGCTTAGGAATTAAGTTATTATTAGGGAAAAGAGTTTTAAAAAGGTTATGATGTTTTGAAATTGCAACTTCTAACTTATTAATTAAAGTCTCTGTAAATATTCTGGAAAATATAATGCTCATGCATTTAAGTAATTGCAAAATTAACTCCCAATATCTTAAATGTTCATCTGTGATAATTAAATCACCTAAAATAATAGGGAGAAATCTAATTAAGCACCAAGTTTGTGCCGCTTTTTGCCCAATTTTATTTCCTTTCCCATCAAGACGTATCGGGTTAGGTTTATTTTTTGATTCTAAGTAGCCAAAGTCAAACGCCAAAATCCTATGATTCACAGTTTCAAGGTCAAAGCACCCCACACAAATTAATTTTTGCAAAACTAATTTAATCTCGTATGGAACCACCCCCTCCAGAAGGTCATGCATTATGTCTACCGTAGGGGTATTTAAAAAGTTAAAATATTTTAAAGTGTTCAATTCGCATGGACTTTGAACCCCAAATGTCTTTGAGTTTAAATGGTCTAAATAATTTTCTGAATTACGAATAGACATTTTTGTGTGATCAAATTGGTTCTGACAATCTGTCTTGGAAATACAGCAAATACGACAAAAATAGTTTGAATTGAATGATTCTGTAATCTGTAATGATTCTGTAATGATCCCAATAAGGAATTCCCGCCTAAATTATCAAAAACTACAGAGCAAATTGTTCCTCGAAATATTTCCCGTCCAATTAATATACCCGTTATTTCTAAAATTCTGATATCAGGAAGAATGTGATTTAAAATAGCATTAAATCCATATTTCTTAGCATCCTCGCTGTAAAATAGAGCGAGTAAATGAATTTGTGAAAGTTGAGAATTTAAAAAGTCTGGAAAATTTCGTAAAATGAAATAAATACCACCAAGTTTGTGCACGCCTTTTTTTGACCCCAAAGGATTGACTGTCTCGAAGTCATCATAAAATAATTGCAATTGAATGGCATTCTTATAAATTGAAAATAAATTATTAGATTTAAAAGACTCTGAGTCTGCAAAATTTCTTATAATTTTGTCATCTGAGTTTTGTGTCTTGAAATATTGAAACAATTCAGGAGTTCTAATTATTTTTTCGAGTGTTTTAAGAAGAGGAACATACATAAAAGTATCCTCAACAATTACTTGTTGGCGTTTGTTATTTCTTACATTAACCTCAGTTCTGTTACCTAAACTAATTTCGACAGGAGAGATAATTTTGTCCCGTTTCTCAAATAGTTTTTGTCGCTGATAACCAGAACGTACTTTTCCGAAACCCGACAAGAGGGTACGTATTTGAGATCCTAACGGATTAAATTCGTTACTAAATGTTTGCGTTCCTAATCTACAAATTACATCAATAATTTCTGTAACTAAATACTCCATATCTTTGACAACAAAATCTACGACGGAATTATTCACACCCTTCGCCATCAAAGACGCACAAAAGTTGCCTAAACTATCAATAATTACTTCAATACAAGTATCAACAGTAATGTTTTCAAAAACCTCTGGGTCTTCCAAATTGGTTGTCTCATTTGAATTTGATTCTAAAATATTATTAAGACTTTGTATATTCTCCTGTTGTAAACTTATCTCGTGAGATTTACAGTGACGTAGATACCCACTCCAAGTAAATATTTCTACATTGCACCCGTCATAAGGACAAATTGATTTAGTAAAATTTATATGTGTAATATTATGTGTAAACTTAATATGGTCGTGAAACTCACTAACCCCTAAAATTAACTTCTGACACCTTGGACAAATAAACATTATTCCAATCTGCTTTCCGCTAGAATCCCGTGCAGTTGTGATGAGACTTGCTTGATTTTCCTTGAGAGATCTGTTTTGTCGACATCAATTTTATAGATGAATACTTGCAAAAATTTCCAGACTCCCTGCAAATTCTTGTCGTATTCCGCAGAAAAAACGTAGTGTGACTTGAATAAACGATCAATGGCTTCTGTGGAATTTGTCGCGTCAATAGGAAGAAGTATTTTGTCCACTACAAGGAAAAAATATACCAAATTCTTCTTGTCTTCTCCAAGACAAATTAAATTGGGCTGTCGCTTTTCGTCACTCCAAGTGTCCAAGATTGAATTGAGGGGTGTTCCGCTCTAAAATAGATTTAAATAAATTTAGGTAATTTTCTTAACATATTTGAAATATCGCAATATTAAAACCATTTAATATCACAAAATGTCTATGCACAAAAATACTTTGTAATACGAGACCATCAACATCTGTGCACACGTTGTTTTGCTGCGACTTCCCTTCGCCTTCCCTTGCGCCGCGGGGGGAATTAAATGTAATAATAAAAACAGAGCAGCTAAAGATTGATCCCACTGATCTGTAAAGTCATGCCAAAAATTTATTTAATTTATTCTGATAAGGAAAAAAAGTTATATTATTTTAACTTATACCCGATTCCTCAGCTAAATATTTGGTTACAGCAGGTGACGAATTAAACTCTTTAGCTTTAATTAGTAGTTTTGATGAAAATACTGGCCATGAATTTGTAAAGTTGTGTTGCGATTCTTCCTTCATCAGTGAGAACTCAAACGAAATCTACAAAAAATAATTTCCAAATTAGTTAATAATTTTCATAACTTTCATTTCCAACGGTTATGTGATATTTTTTACCATAAAATCGCATTCTTTGAATTTTTTGTAGTGGAGAAAAATAGACTGTGGGTTGCTTTGCCTCAGATAAATCCTGTGATGATAAGTGTTGGTAATTAATTCTTTTAATCTTTCTTTTCCTGTTTTTGCGCATGTCCCGTTCAGCAGAAGAATTAAACTCTCATATTGTTGGTCGTCAGCTGGCTCTTCGTTTCTTGCTGTTTTAACGCAGGGGCCACCAGTAGATCTTTTCTTTGTTTTTTTTGCAGAATTCACTTTTTGAGACGTGTGGAGAATTTGATGAATTCGTCTCAATCTGGTCTGAATAAGTCCAGACCGGCTGACTTCGTCAAATAAAATGTCCTGAAATTAATTAAAATAAATTTATTCATATACATGTAATATAACATATTAATTAGCGCATTTATGTATTAATTACACAAAAAAATTACCATACCAAGCCATATTTTGAGCCAGAATAACGCCAGCAGGGGAGAATTTCAACAATTGCTGCGGCGAATTGTTTTTGCACCGACGTCGCAGGTGAGTCTCTGGAATTGGATAAATTAGTTGCAATAAATATAAAATAAAAATTCAGGTCAAACTGTTTATTATATCCTTACCCCTTTACCTCTATAAGTTTTGACACAAATTCATTAATGAGAATTGTCGAAGATTTATCGTCCACGAAGCCTTTACTCTTGCAATCTTCGACAATACCGTGTATTACATTGTTTTGTTGAACCGTGGTTTGGAGAATCTAAAATAATAGTTAGTAAAGTTGTTATAATAATCTGGCACAATTAACTAAGTATCTACTGTACTTGTTTAAAATTATCCCCTATTCCAAACGATTGAGAAAGCCCAATATTTCCTGCCGCAGGTAAAACTACAGACAAATATTATTGCATATTAGTACGATAACTTTCACTCATTAAAAAAATATCACACTTATTCAATGGAATTTCCTCAACAGTTATAGCTTAAAAACTGAAAATGGTAATATACTAGACTAGAAGTGTTTATTCGAAAAAGACTTACAATAACTTGATTGCGATGTATTATTGTAGCTTAGGTCAATTTCCAATACTGACGACTCTTCTTCTAGCTTGAATATGATATTTTGAATCCCATCTAGGCTGACCAAAATTGGGAAAACATCAGAGTCCACCTCGGCACCGTATTCATCCACGAAAGTAATATTTTCTGCTTCATCCAACTCAAATTTGCTTCTTACTAATAAATACAAAGAAAAAGTTCGCAAAACTTTAATAAATCCCAATAAATACTGTTTAAAAATAGTGTAAGGATATGTTTGCTTACCTGATGATAGAAATTCTTCAAAATTTCCGTCGGATGAAATTAATTTCTTGCCCCTAATATTATTTGAAACCCGAACTAGTTTAGTAGAACTCATTGTGAAAAAAATTATGGAAAAAAATAAAGGAGAATGAAATGAAGGAGAGTCACTACTGGCTCCCGGGCGAGCGTCGTGTAACGGCCAAACATGAGACAAAAAATTTGGTATTATATCAATACCAATATTGCAGTCTTTCAATACCATGGGCAGTAAAATCTATACAAATTCTCTCGGTATTGAAAATGTTACGTCTGGTTTTAACTTGTAGTATTGTTTCAATACCGAAATTGTGCTATGAACTTAATACTGCGATGTTGGTATTAAATTCTTTTTAGAATCAATACCCAGTTTCTTACAGTGTAGCTATATGGGCTGCGGCTATCGTTTGAAAAAATAAATGCATTGATTGAATGATTGAAATGACGAAATTCTGAACTGTTTCAATTTGGCACAAAACCATTATGTGTACATTTTTTTAGTCCAAGCTTTCCATGGTTTTAAGTAGCACTGGTGTACATGTGCTATTTCGCATCACAACTTATTTGACAAATAAAAGGTTCACGAAATATTCTTGAGAAACAAGAACGATGCCGATTTTCTGGGTAAGTGTGTAAAAAAGTCCATACTTTCTTGAAACTAGAGTTGTTAAATCCGGATACTATGAATTCGAAAATCCAGATTTTTCGGATTTCGAATACTTCGAGATCCGGATGTTATCCGAATCCATCAAAGGAAAGAAACCGCATTTTGTCAATTTAAAGACTCATATTCTTGTACGATGTAAAGATACAAATCTTTGAGAATGTGTGGATTTTTTTTTAAAATTTGCATGCAATTCTATCCAGCTTTATCATATCCGACATCAAACTCAACTCTTTTGAAATTTTACAATTTTTCAGTACATCAATTGAAAAATATTCCCAGCAACTCCCTACGCGATCTGAAAATTTTCGAAAGTGTTGCAAATCAATAAAAACGCGGAGATTGCAAATGAATACGATAATGCAGCTATTTGACGCCTTCCTAATTCGTTCAAATATGAAGGAAATTAACAACAACAACTAACTATAAGTAATTCAAATTCGGGTTTGGGTCCCGATGAAAACGCATGAAACGGATCCGAAATCTGGATTTGAAATCGGAACGGATTTGACAGCCCTGAACGAATTTTTTATAATATTGATCTGAGCGACGTGATATCTGTATTACTTTTGAGTAATTTAATTACCCCAAAAAATTGATTAAGAGAATCTAAATCCTGCAGTTTTTCAATTTGTGAACTCCACATCTGTTATTATTTTTTTTTAAATATTGTCACGATTTCATTTCGGATGACTTAAAAAAATACATCGTTTTCGAATTTTATATAATCTTGAGAATTAAAAACATGCCAATTTTCTGGGTAAATTTGAAATTGACAAAATATTCCATCCTTTTCTAGACAAAAGTCTCGTCCAATGTTTGAGTTTACGAAAACTATCCAAGTTTTGTTGATAACTGGCAGATTTTTCATGATAAATAGATCGAATCTAATTTACTATGAAGTAATTTGGTTCTGTCCTGTCATAAAATTGTTTAAATCCCATATTTTATGAAATTTACTAATTCCGCACGCGTATTTATTTTTTTAGAACCTTTCCACAAACTTTGAATTATTGATATTTTATTTTATGAAATATCAGGAAATCTTGATTAATAAAAACCTGCCGATTTACCAGGGCTAAATTTATGAACCAAAATAATGACGTTCCAATTGTCACATCTTGTATTTAGTTTTTAGCATACTTTTTAAAAATTTATCGTTCCAACATTTAAATGACACATTTAAGTGACACAATTTTATTAAGATAGATATATACAATGAGATCGTGTTTTTTCGCGCTCGGACGATTTTCAAGTCTGATAGCTTAAAATTTTCGTAATTTTGTGTACATGAAGAATCTGTAATAATATTGGGGGCGTAGATTGGTGGTTTTCGAGATCTGAGCTAAAATGTGCGAATTTTTTGATAATTTTGAGTTTAGCCTCAAACTCGTCAAACTTTGGTTTAATATGACTGGAAATAATTTATAAATTTATTTTGGACTTGAATTTGGTCGATATTTTGATATCTGACCCCAATTTTGCAATAAGTTCAATTTTGCAAAATAATTGCATTTTCCGTATTAGTATGCCACGATCTAATTTTGGAGTTTTGATTAGCATTTTAAGTTAATCCATAGGTCTTGTGATCTAGCTGAATCGCTAGATACAATTCGTTACTTATTCCGAATGTTTAAACCAACTGGGGATGTTGTGAATAGCCGGCTATAGCGGTAAATTTGGGACCGCAGTTGCAACACATATTGCAACAAAATTTGAACGAAATCTAAATTAGAATATGAGTAAGGAGTTCATGTTAATGTTACGACGGATTTCTGATATGTCCAGTTGCCAATTCAGAATTTTGAAATTAACGCAAAGTATTGTTAACCACTCGGAATTTTGTTAATGCCGCGTCGACTTGTGTATTAAGCAATCGTTATTTTATTTAGTTTTTAAGATAAAAGCAAAAATTAAAATTTGCTAAATTTATAAACCAAACTACTTCCCGTCCTGGGGAAAACAGCTAATCTAAAAACAGTACAGTTTACTAAATTTTTTAAAGATTGTCATTTCGGCGTTTAAATTATGCAATTTTAAAATGCTGCAATTTGACGCAAAACTGTCAATCTTATATTTTCTAACGTAAAAAACTTTCCTCTGTTTTTGGGGAAGTTCAATATTATTGGTGTAAACGTATCACTTCAAGTGATACGTTTAGTGATATTTTATGCCAAGTGAATCACTTGGCATAAAAATTTATTTGAGAAATAAATGGTTCTCGTAATAAAAACATGTCGCCTTTCTGAGTAAATTTGAAAAAATTACATCCTTTTCTAGAAAGTAGATTCGCATAAAGTTTGAAATTTGAGAAAACTACGTAAGTTATACTGGAAACTTTGTAAGTTAAGTGGATCGAATCTAAGTTGCTCTAAAATAATTTGATTCTGCAATAAGAACCTTTCCATGACTTTAAAATTTTAGTCTTGTTTTAAATCTTGATAAATCAAGACATACTAATTTACTGGAGTTTTTGAAGCGATGCACCATGCTAAGGGCAACTTATCTCTCCATCTTTCCTATTTATGATAGTTTTTTTAAATGTGCAAATGGAATTCACATGGAATTGTTCAAATTTTACAGAAAAGTGTTTGACAAGCAGAGACTGGTCAATCCCGGATTAAGGATTGGGGATTGAGATTGGGATTGGGGATTAATTAATCCTTAATCTCAATCCTTAATCCCGAGTTTTTGAATTTTAATCCTTAATCCCTAATCCCCAATCCAAATCTGTCAACTTTAATCCAAAAGTGGGATTAAAATGGCATTAAAGTGGGATTAAATTTGCATTCACTAAAAACTCATAAAAGCAAACTTCTCTTGAGATCGCTCCCCTTTCGAAAATTGATTGCATTTCGTTCATTTTTATCAAACATTTAAAAATACTCCAAAATATTTTGCAAAACTACTCGTATCGTGGTATCCTCAATGTGCAATGTTCAAATTTTGTGTGAGCTTATAAAGAAATGTGAGTACTCTGACCAAACTATGATCGATGCTGTTCGTTAAAATAGTACCCAGAATAAAATTAGAATTCTTCCCCTATATAATTTTTAGCACAAAAAATATTTAATTATGACTTAGAAATTGTATTCGTAAGCCATCTAATTTTGTATGCAAAATGATCAAAATATTCCATTTTCAGAAGTTCAGAGATTTGTTTAATTAATTTAAAAATCTGGCATAATAATGCAAACAATTAATCCACGACTATGTAAATTAATTTCCAAACCAGGTAAACCCTAAATTTAATCCCGTGTTAATCCCAATCCCAGATTAAATTTAATCCCGTGTCAATCCTAATCCCAGATTAAATTCAATCCCTAATCCCAATCCTTAATCCCAAAATTTGGAAAATTAATCCTTAATCCCCAATCTCAATCCCAAGATTTTAAATTTAATCCTCAATCTCAATCCTTAATCCAAATATCTTTAATCCGCCAGTCTCTGTTGACAAGTATTTTAACAAAATGAAAAGACCACAATTTTCTATGCACATTTAGCAAAAAAATTCTAGCATTGTCTAGAAACAGTTTGATAAAATGTTTCAAATTAGTCAAGACATTTGCAAAATTTCATCTTTTTAAAGAATGAGATTTGTACAAAGTTTCCAATTTGTCAAGACTTGGAAAACAATGTTGATGTTGTCAATTTACGAAATTTAGGAAATGACAAATTTAGACACCTGCGTGGATTAACAGTAAGAATTTAATATACCCTAAAAACTTTAAAACGACGTATTAATATATCATTTTAGACAAATATGAAACTTGTCATTTCCACAAAGTTTAGCACGAATGCTGTGAAGTGTTATTTTATTTTTACTTAAAATTTAGATTCACTTTAGAAATCTGCAAAATTTGAAAATTATAGTTCCGAAATATTCAAGTAGTAACAGTGTGGTTTAAGTCACGAAATTTTGTCACGGTCTGCAAAACAATTTAGTTAAAATTATCTCTCCTCCTTAGAAATCGGGGTTTCGTTCCCGTATTTGGTACCGCATTTTGTTGACAAATTAATAATCTTGAGATGAAACATACTGACTTTCTTGGTAAATTTGAAGAATAAAATTTCATCCTTTTCTAGAAAGGAGTTTTGCCTAATGTTGGCGAAAACTATTCAAGTTATGTTGATAATTAGCGAATGTTTCAAGTCAATTCCATCTAATTACTTTTTAGAACCTTAGCAAGACTCAATTGACTGTCATTCGAGGAGAGGCACCATGGCAGGACGTAGAATAATTTGCTCCGTACTTTTAATTATTTTGCTGGAGATCTATGAGTTAAACACTTCTCAAAATTTTATAGTGAGTGGACCAAGGACAGTTACTTTGCTTCACCAAACTAAAATTTTGAAATTACGTCCCATAACGCAGTTATCGTGCAATTTAAAAAATTGTGAATCCAATGTAGTGGATTTTAAGTGAAGTGAATTGTGCTCATTTACAACCACACAAACCTTCATTTCCTTATCTACTCTCCACCTTCATTACCTTACTCCTA